CCCCAAAACCCCAAAACCCCAAAACCCCAAAACCCCAGAATGATTAAATTACGAGATCTAAGCAATTTAAAATTTATATATTTTGCTAAATTTTAAAATTATGATATAAATGAGTTAAGAGGATTCGAGATAGGATTGACACCATTTGATGAATCTTCTATGCTCGAGATCCATATCATGATTAACTTTCTTAGCTTCATTTTACATAGATATTGATATTTTTCCAGAGTGATTCCATCTTGTGGCTCATTCCTTTTTGTGAATAGACTCCACACTTAAAGTAGTGATTGTCACTTCCATGGTCTTCTCCTTACCATACCAATTAGTTATCAAGATAAGCTTCAATGTGATGACTATCAGCGTTGTGAATAACATTAAGATGCCACCATTTGTTGTATGCATTTTTTCTGAGAGTTTATCCACTATATCTTCTAAGCTCGCCATCATATATTCTGAGCATGAATGAGGTTGCAGCAGATCCTCCTCCTCCGAATATTTGCATGAGATTCACTCCAGAAGTTCCACTTGGTACATAGAAATCGGCTTCAAACTAATGCCATCCATGGGTGTAATCATTCTTAATTCTTATTTCGGTTCTTGGATCAGTATGAGAGCTAGGTGAGTGAGGTTTGTCGTTTGAAAAGACCCATAAATCGTGAACTCCATCCTTGAAGGAATATCTCTCACTCTATTATTTGTCGTAGGGTTACTGGATCTCGTAATCAAAGGCAACTTTTTTCCATCCACTAGTTGGAGAACTTCTAACTTTCAGAAATCCATCATCTTCAAATATTTAGCCACTCTCACTATTTTCATGATATAGATTATGCTCTTGAGAATGAACATGACTTGAGAATGTAACAGAGGCTGTTGATAGGACAACGAGCAAGATATTCTTCTTAATCATATATATTTAAATTATATTTTATATAATTTGTATCCTAAAAAATCTAATAATTCTATATAGAAATTAAGAATATATTAGCAAATTAGTTATTTGGAATACTGTGATTTCTTTATTTCATAACTTGCAATAATTCTCTCGATTAATTACAATGGGGTTTTGGGGTTTTGGGG